CGTGGCACTAGGGTTTGGGTTCATCGTAGTTGGTGCCTAAGGTGAGGAAAGAGTGCTGGGATGCGTGGATGATGCTGGGATGCATCTAAGGCAGAGCAGAGATTCACTCTCTGATTCCAATTTGAATTCGATGAATCTGATCTCTATAACTCTACAAACGCTAACTCTTCGGAATTCTGCAAATTTGTATGCTCCTCGAGATTCCACAGTAACTCCTCTACTACCTTCGGCCGTGTCGGTGCTTCGGGATCGCTGTCAGTGAACGTGTCGGACTGGTCGAAGATCCTCGGCAACGAGTACAAACAGAACCGGAGGAGGGTTCGAAACGCGATTTGGGATAACGTGATCTAGATTCTATTTTTTTAGATCCAGATTCTATTTTTAGCATGCCAGAGAAGTTTAGGGAGAGAAATGCATGAGTATAGTCTACATATTGTTCTCTATTACCCTTCCATATAGTCTCGTCATGTTCACTTTTGATTACCAAGTAACATAAAATTTCACTCCCAATTTTAGCCAAAGAAAAGTCCATGAAATATTTTTGATGCATAGAATAGAAATTCAATTTATCACCGGAATTTAAACTGTCATCTGCTCCTGCTTGAACTTGAGTAAAAGTACTCCAGAATAACCACAATTGCACGAAAGCAAACAGTAGTCTATGTAGATAAACCTCAGATGCTTAAAAGGACGCAATCTTAGCAGGGTTCGAAACACGATTTGGGCGAAAACGGGATTCCAAGATTAGAATCAAATGAAACCTTGACAAAAACCTAATTTTTTTTATAAGAGCCTGAAATCGGAATCCCAATGAAATGTTTTGGGGTCATTAGGATTTATGATTGGAATCATAAGGCGTTGCTTGTGGTAGACGCTGTGAAAGAGCCTCTTGTAACGTCTGAGGCATCATGATTGTGGACGAGAGAATGGCGGTGGAGACCCAAAGAAACAACTGTGCAGTTTGCATTGAAAAATACCAAACCCAGAAGACCCAGTACTTTGACGAACCCAAACTTTAACTCCTCTTTTTTTAACCTGTGTCAAAACATTGCCAGATAATATATTTTTTTTTCTGTCACAATTTTAACCTCACTATTTTAACCTCACTGCCAATAAGATAAACTATACACGTCATTAAGTTTTATCCAGCATGTGTTTTTTAAGTTGAATCATTTATTACTTTTAAAAAATTAATATCTTTTTGAACACAGCCCCTTTTCGAGTAAAAGAAAAAAGTATTAAGTCTAATTTATAAAACATGAAAAATGGTAAATAGACAGGAGTCTAAAATTTCCCGTCCAGGCTTAGGGTCTACAGTAAACAGAAAATCCCAATTTTCTTTCACATACACAGAAACTCAAATTCCTTTCTTCTTCGCTGAGTAATCGAAAATGGGAGGTCACGGAGGTCTGAATATTCTCCCTCAGAAACGTTGGAACGTTTACAATTACGAGAACAGAGAGAAGGTTCGTCGCGACGAGGAACAAGCCGCCAAGGAGGAACAGCTCAAGCGCGAGCAGGCTCGGAAGCGCGACGCCGAGTTCCGTCTCGAGCGTCTCCGCACCGCTCGAGGTTTGGCACCGAAGCTTCTCCCTCCCGGACCAGAACCCGAACCCGAACCCGAACCCAAACCCGAACTTGAGCCCGAGCCTTCTTCCGACGCTGGCCACATCAACCTTTTTGAAGGGATCAAGATTTTCGACCCAATTCAGGAGCCTCAGAAAGAGGATCCTCCGGCAAAGAAGAAGAAAAAGGTGGAGGGAGGACCCAAACCCGCCGTTGTTGTGGGCCCGGAGGATGAGAAGTATAGACTTGGTTACGGGCTTGCCGGGAAGGGGGTTCAGTTACCGTGGTATCTTCGGAAACCTAATGATGATGTAGTGAAGGATGAAAGCGGTGACGGCGATAGGAGGGAGAATAAGGGTGAGAAGAAGAGGAAGACGATGGAGGAGTTGAGGGAAGAGAGAATGAAAAGGGAGAGAAGAGAGAAGGACCGCGAGAGGGCTTTGAGACACGAGAAGATGCAGAGTCACAGAGATGTTTCTGGCAGTAGGAGGAGGGTCTCTAGATGAACATAACATCGTGGGTTTTCTTGTCGTGTTTTCCTTGAAGAGTTCCCCTCGTTATCATTCGATATTACTATATCTGAAGTTTATTGTAGTTTAAAGTATAGTTAATCAAAGTGGTTTGGTTTTTTTCATGAGCTTATAAATATCTATGCTTCTTTTGTTCAGAAAAAAATTAATGAAAAATGATTATTTGCTGGCAGTCTGTATATGCGTCTATGATTTTCATTTCAATTGTATTTATGGAGATGGTGAAAATAATTCTTCATAATGTGAGAAGACACTCTTACAGATTCTGGTTTGTTTCTCAATCTGCAAGTTTAATGCTTTTGCATCTTTTAGTTTCATAATGAGTTTTGCTGCTTTCTTTAAGTTCATGAAAAAGAATTTGATGGAGCATGTCTTCTTGCTTCCAATGACATCCTCACTCTACTTTCCTGCATTCTTAAACAAAAATTCTGACCACTTTCTCTTGATAGATAAAAATAAGTTAATTCACCATCAAACTTTTTTTGTCGAGTCGAGGAAACTCATAAATCTCTTAATAAACTCAAACTCTGAAGACAAGAAGTTAGTTAACAAGTTTGAAATTAATGTTTTATCGATTCTTATCACACACAATGACAATGTTTTATTATGACTCAGATAATTTGAAGAAATTAACTCCATTTTTAATTGTTCACATTAAGAGCCTTGTGTTTTTATGATTTTATTTATATATAATTTAGTCATTTAATCTTATTTAGCACTGATGAGCGATCATACTTTATTAATGTGATTTGTTACTTTTCTTTATTATGAAGTGAAAATATTGAATTATTGTTTTATTAAGAGTATCATGTTGTACATATGGTATACGTTATCGATATATTTTTTTATATTAAGTAAACTCTTAAGTTTACAAGTGGAATCTATGGGTTGAGTCTACAAAAGCTCCATGAGTTTAGACTTTTGAGCTTGTTAACCTTACTTCCTTAAGTTTTCTGCAGTTTTATATTTTATTTAACCTCTGCTGTTACATCTCTGGTTTCCATTGTCCACCGTGTTATCTGGTGGTGCATTAAGTCACTGTTGCTGTAGTCCACTGCTGCCAGAAAAAAGTATCCAGGAAGCTATCAGTGTTGTTTTCAAATTACCCATGTTCCGGTGAATTTTCTGGCAACCATCTGGCAGCTTTCAGAGCCTATCTTGTGACTTCCCCAGCAACTTCTGGCAATATACAACTGACTTGCTGCTGGCTCTTTGGTGGCTTTCCATTGAACACTAGCAACTTCCAGTTGAGTCAATCTCTAACCACATCAAATCTGTCAATTTCCAGCTGTGTTAGGGGTGTGCAAAAAAGCAGTTCGAACTGAACTGGTTTAGAACCTTACTGGTCATGAAAAAAAAAAGTTTAGTTTTAAAGATAGATTCAGTGCAGACCGGACTGTCTATTTAAAACAAATCCGGTGCACTTATTGCAATCCAATATACTTGTATTGCTTCCTGCCAGACTGCCATATCACGAATGCGCACACCACTGTACGAAGAGATGAGGGAAGGAAGGCCATCTTCTAATTTGTCTTATATGCTCCTCAGTCCTTAAATCCCAAATCACCGTTAAACCTTTTCTTTTCCTCTACATCCCATATCAGAATGCATGCCATGGAAACTACCTTTTTTCTCTACTTTTTCTACCTTCAATTTGAATATGATGATGGACATTTGCGCAGCTGTTTTATCTTGTTTCAACAGGTAATTGCGGCTTTATCTTGTTTCAGCACAGGACAATAATGTTATCTCAATTGTTTGGTCTTGGAAAAGGAAGTTTAGACTAAGAATGATGCCTTCAGATGCTTTAGGTGAAATACTTCAGGTTTGTCCATGACTTTCTCTGTAAACAAAAAACGTTGTATCCAGTCTATGATTTACTTCAAGCTTGACAAGAAGCCAATGTCTTCCTAGTGACTAGCTGTGCTAGAAATATTTAAGTTACTAGAACAAACTACTTTTATTAGTAATACTGGTACTGCAATTAAGCTATGAAGTTTTATTCCAGTTTCTACTGTAGCGAAGTTATTACTGTTGCTGCTACTTAAATTTTGGAGTTTCTTTAATCTGTAAACATTGTATGGAAGGAAATTAATACTAATATCCTTTTTGCATTATTGAGTGTCTAGGAAAAACATTTTACTGCGCTAGTGGATAATTTGTCAAGATCCAGAGTAACATAGTAAATTTAATAAGTGAAACTAAATATTCAAGGAGGAAGTAGGAATTAAAGGTTGTTAGGATATAAAAGGTAACGGGGACCTTATCACTGAGAGCAAAGGGTTTCATATGATCTATCAATTAATGAGAATAGAATGGCCTTTAAAGTTTTGAGGGAATATTAGCATTTACTACTGAAGTGTGAGCGATTTCAGCAGCGACATTTTCGTTTGCGATACTATTTTGTTTAGGGGATGCAAAAACTAGAAGACTGTTGCATTATTCCGAGAGTTTATGTGAAGGAATTAAAGGGAGTTGTTGAGAAATGAAGGAAGCTGAAGTATATTAGTGTCTGCTAAGAAGTGACCGTAAATGTAATTTTTTTAAGCATATGCATTTAATCCATAAAATTTCGAACAAGTTCTTTTGAGCAATGTCTTGCTATTTTGACGCGCCTACTTTAAAAGTGTCTAGATATTTAATAACGGAACTAACTTTGTTACCTCATTTTATTAACCTTTGACTTAATGAAGAAGAAATTAGAAGGCATAGGAAGCTTCTGGGCTGCTGTTTACTGATTGAATATTTTAATCACCTGATCTATCCAATCTGTTCTCTTCGGAAAGATGCAAAAACCTGTCATACTCTTTTATCTAGTTTTTACCCTTTTCCTCTCTATATTTTGGTACGGTTAATTTGAAAAGGGCTTAGTTGTCTCTCAACTTCATAGGTTTTATAAACATTAGGATCAATGTTAGTATATGGATAGTTTAACATATATTAAAATAACTTTTTTTCAAATACATGAGAATTAGATGGATAGGCAAGATGACACTTTGGCCTCTGAAATAACAAAACAGATGCTACCACCTCGCTTTGAAGAGCGTAACATTTGATCTCGATGTATGAGATCACTTCAATGAATTGTCAGAGTCTAACATCAAGAAGCAAGTTAAATGTAGTCGTCGTGGTAGTTGGATTAAATTTGTGAGTGGAAAAATTGCTGTGGTAACTCATTTGTGCAGATGCAAGGGTATCCAAACAATGACGTGAACCCGAATCAAAAGTCAGATTCATCTACCTCTAATCATTTCTTCCCATTTCTTTGCCCAAAATTGACTACTTATGTCAAAACGAACTGATCAAAATGTTTGTGGCAATTGAACTTTCCTTTTGAATTGTCGATCTTGAACCTTTTGTGGCATCTTTTAGCATTGTAGCACCCTTTCTTTTTGTCATCTCACATTCTACCACGGCACGCGATGTTTTTAAACTTTGGAATTGTGAAAAAGGGCATTTGAGGAACTTTCTTTATTGTCACTCTCGTAGAGTTCGCCTCGCCACTTAGACTTGGACTTCATTTCAAAAAGGAGGTAGTGATGATCCTCATTTCTGTAACCAAAATTTTCAATCAACTAGGTTTAATAAATCTGAATTAAGTAAATACTTGGATGAAGCCTTAGAAGAGATTCAAGGAAATTTGGATATTTTGAATTGGTAGGAGCTAAATTCGGGTAGATTTCTAGTTCTTGCAAACATGGCAAGAGATGACTCTACAGTGGCAACTAAATCTTCCTTCAGCCCTGGAAGAATATCTTTTGATCCACATTGTAGTTCTCTTGCACCACAAATGGTAGAAACACTTGTTTGCACGCAAGATTGGCTTAAAGGGACACACCCTCACTATTTTCCTCAAATGAAAAAGAGGATTTTGAGGAGCTCGAGAGATGTGAAAAAGGTAACAATATTTGTTTTATACTATATTATTGTACCATGCTTACTATAATATGACTGATAAGTAACATTGTTTTCTTAATTTTGTAGACACCATTCCCTCACAAGACTTTACTTATCCAGCATCTTGTGTTACACTAGATGATGACTGAAAATGTAGAATGATTTTCTTTGTGACTTTGAATTAGGATTATTTTGTATTTAGTTGTTTGGACCTTTTAATCTCGGGTTATTAACTTGTTGCCTTTCTTCATGCTTGGGTTCCATTTTATGATACTTGTATAGAACTGCAGACCAGGGTTGTTTTGTAAGCTATAAACTGCTAATCAGATACAGAATTTCCCTGCAATGACACCTTGACGGCACCCTTCAGAATTCTACAACAACGAGGCTTTGGCACTGAAATTCATACCCCCATCAAACCAAGCAGAAGAGAACAACAGGTAAACAATTATACTATATAGTTAAACAAGAATCAATAATGCAAAAAACATTGAATTGGAGTTTTATTTCTATAGTAGAAAAGATTAATTGAAATAAATGCACATCTATTGTGCTTAGCTGCAGAATGCATCATAGAAATCAAGGAGTTAAAGCATGTCATACAAAAGTTTATTGCTATTATTTGTTGTCACAAAAATATTTATTATATGACGAAAAACACTTACTCGGCCACCACACGATGAGAGTTATGCAAATATCTATAAGGTTTGGATTTTGGCAACAAGACCGTTTCCTCTGTCAGTGGTGCTTATTGATCTTGAACACTTAATCATATAGAAAAGTTTAATCATATTTACATTACAGCCTTCTCTTGTCTACTGATGAGTAAAGAAACAAAATTTTATAGGGTCTTGCGCCTTATCTGTAAGTGTTGTGCGCTTTTGGTTTTTGAAACCATTTCTAAGACCAATTTTAAGTTCTGAATCAGTTTTGAAACCGGTTTGGTTCTTGAAACAAATTTAAAACTGGTTCGATTTTTGAACCCAGATTTTAAACCAGTTCAGTTTTTGGAACCGGTTTACAAACCAATTTGGTTTTTCAAAACGCTAGATTGGCTTTCTGAACTGGTTTGTAAAACCATTTTAGTTATTGATCCATACACAACCGGTTTAATAGGGTGAAAAGCTGTTGAGAACGGGGGACTGTTCAAGTAGATCAATGTAAATTCCTGATATTTTTTATGGTAATAATTTATGCGTTTAAAAAGTTTCTAATTGTGTTTTTGCTTACATGTGCTTCACAGTAAGCTTGTTTTACAAATTTTGGATTTCTTGTTTATCAACAAACTTGAAGTTTGATTACATTAAATTTGGCAATATTCTGTGATTGCAGACAATGGAGCAATATGAGCGATGAGATGGAGGCCGTGAAATACAGGTGGCAAATATGGAACCGACTTTTTCCCAACCCAGCTCTCGCTTCCCCCATTTCCAGAATATTGATCCAGTGAGATGTTTGAATGTTTGGCAAATTCGCTATAGCTTTTGTACCTAGTTTAAACTCCTTCCTATCAAGTCTTGTGATCAAAATTAAGTTGTTTAACCCAATAGTGAAAGGAAAATTTTACATGGACACTAAAGTTTTCCTACACCTATGAGATACTTAATGAAATAGTTTATTAATTATTTGGAGTTTCTTTTAAGCACGTTCCTGCTGAATCCAAAGCTGAGCTCAGTTTTAAGGCAGCTTCTTCCAGCACCTCCATTACTTTCTTCCTACACTCCTATAATTCTTCTCATGTTATCTTTTCTAGATTTTGTAATCCAGAAGTCGAAAATGGCTTTTGAATTACATAATTCTTTTTTTAAAAAAGGTGGTTTTTGGATTATACGACCCAAATAGGTTTTGAAAATTATTTTTAATTTCTGAATTATACAATCTGAAAATTAAAAAATGACGTATAATCCAAAAACGATAAAATAGGAAAAAATTGAGGGTGCTAAGAAGAAAGCTGTGGAGGTACAGGACAGATTCAATCTTTGTGTTGTATCTAATGAAATTACCATGTGGAGTAATGCAATTGTTGTTGGATATTGTTTCCTGCACCCCATCAATTTCTTCCTTCACTCCATTGTTGATGTGAAGTTCCAATAGTTAGCCCGTGAACTCATTTTGGATTAAAACAAGTAGAAATAAACTTCATTACTGAAAATTAATTACGCTAATGGCTGGCTAATGGTGCCGGTGAGAAAATTTTTATTATTCTATACTGTTTTTTTAGAGCTACATGCTAATTACTTATTTGTTTTTCTGTGTATTTTTCTTCCTTTTTGCTTTTCTCTATCAACTTATCTTTCACAACCGAACATATATATGTTATTTAGAAGACTGAATTTGTACAATAATAACTTGAGTAGTTAACACTTCACTATTATAATATTTGATGGATTAAAAATATAATTAAGTACTCATTGTCAATCAAGCATATATTGTTATGGTTTTAAGGAAGTCTTGATAAAATATAATGAAAATTAACAAACTTATATAACAAAATTTGTAATGGAACGAAATATAAAAATAATTTATGTAGGTTATATTTAGAGTACTATTTGCTCTTAAACTGGTAGTATGAATATTTCAACAATTTGGTTTTCCTTTTTAAGCTAGACATTTGATTTGTTCAGTAGATTACTTGAGTAAGTAGATTAGCCTATGATGTTCACATCCATAATAAAAAAGGATTATATTGTTTGGCAAGCTGTCACAACCCTTTTTCTTCTTGTTTTTTTCTTTTATGTCAAAGGATAAACTTTCTATAATTGACTTAGAAGCTCATAAAGGATTCCAAAATATAATAAAGTTTCTATAATCTGATTTCTCAATCAAACCAGATTAATCTGAAATAAAGTTTTACAACACTAATTAAAAAAAATCATAATTAATAATTAGTTTCCACCAGTAATCTATGTCCACTTAAAATCATAAACACTTTTATCTGTTAAAAAAGGCTTGAGAGTAGCATGAAGCCAAAAGATCAGCTAGTTAATTTGGTGGTTGGAAGGTGACAGCCAATCTCTAGTGTCAAATCAAATGCTTGTTGAAGGATTTGCTTTCTGCATAGAAACATTGAATTATTCAAACTATAGGTATTTCCCCAAACATGACTTAAATTAATACAAGGTTTAGTTTCCAAATCTTAGTGCGGGGACAACTTTAAAACCAGAAGCTCGTGAAGAAAGGAAAACGAAGATGTTGACTTCATAAAAAGAAGAGATTTTGATAATCAAATGGCCATTAACAACACAGAGTCAGAGGTTTGCATGAAGGCTACTACAAACGATAATCGTTCCCTTTTACACATGGAGAACTTGACCCTCCCTCCGGTATGTTTTCTATTATTCTCTACAATTACTCCTCCATAGTTTCAAATTTTCAATATCTTAATATCTGTCTCTTGTAATTTCATCATTTATTTCTAATATTATCATCCTACCGATCCCAACAACACCAGACTCTAATCTTTTAATCAAAGCCTTGTAGATAGAAAAAAACGATGGTGAGAAGAGAGAAATCATCAACTTGATCACAAATACTTCACACCAACGTCATGGTGATTAACAAAGTTGTTTATTCCGAATGCTTGTTAGTCAAAGAAAATGGTTTGAAGTCTTCCGATTAAGTTATTGTAATATCATAAAATAGATGATTGTAGAGATGCCAAGTTCAAAGCTATATTTTGTAATGGTTGATGAACAGTTTCAGGTTGTAGTGATAGCAGCAAATATGGGGTGCAATGGGTGCAGAGGGAGGGTTTTCAGAGTTGTCTCAAGAATGACTGGTAGGTTTCAGACTCTGTTTTGTCGTCTCTGGAGAAATTTAAAATTCTCATCATAATTGGCGTAAAAAACCTAACTTCTTTTTTCTTCTGCCAAACCTATTCAAAGAAGCTACGCAAACCATATTTTTAATAGAGATATAACCATGGTCAAACCATTTAATTGAGAAAAAAAAAAAGGCTTTATCATTTTTCCTACAAAATCTTCTGCATACCTTATGAAAAAATAAATAAATATGTTTAATATCTAAACACTTAGAAGCATTCAATATTAAAATGATAGTTTAACATATATATTTTATATATTAAATTTAGAGTGTAACAGAGGTTGGTCCTTTTGTCCCTTAAGCTGATTTATATTTAGTGAGGGAATTGTGATGATGTTGCAAAAACTACTACAATTTACATGCAGGGTTGACAGAGTACACTGTGGATCTGCAGAAGAGAGAAGTAACCATAAAGGGAGATTTCATAGCAAATTGCAATTTGCAGAACGAAAGCATTAGAAGCAGGAGCCTTGAGAGTTCGAATGATGAACCCAAGTCTCTGTCTACATGTTTAGCTCATTCTGACTAACATTAATCTAACATAATCATAGCTACAAATGATTAAATCATAAGGCTTACTCATAATGAATCAGAAGATGCTGCCAAAGAATTCTAATCTATGCTACTTCATGTTGGTATGAATTGATTCGTTTATTTTATTCACCAGTTTGACGTTTCTGTGTAGAAAGAAAATGCTTCAACTTATTTTCTCTTACATGATAATGTGCTCTCCTAAACACAACCGATAGAAAATTTAAAATAACTTCAGCAAGCATTTTGTAGTCTCTTACAATTGGCATTTGTCTAATAAGCATTTCACACATCTAAATTTTTTTTACATTTATTTGATATTATATTTTTTTCTATTTTTTACTCTTTTTTTTTTAAAAATACAAAAAATTATAATTTTATAACTATTTTACTTTTGTATTATCTAATGAATATAAAAATGTGTCATGTGTAATAAACACTCATTTTCCTTCTTTTTGTCAGAACCAGTAAACCCCTCACGTATCGTTTTAGTGGAGTTTCACGTGTCAGAGGGGGGCTCGACACTCCGATGTGGGACGCCAGGTGTCACGCGAAGATCCGGAAATCAGTTAGTGGAAAGCAAGTGTCGACAGAATTTAGGGGCACGTTCGTTTTGACGGGGAAGCAAAACTTGGATTTTCAGAAAATCTAAACTCCACCTCTGTCAATGCATCTCTTTTCAAATTTCTGAAGAATCTCATTCTCTCTCCTCCTCTCTACAATCCTCTTCATCTTCTCCTCTAATAACCCCTCTTTCCCTTTTCCGATCTCCATTCAGCCACCGTAGAAGCACTTTCGGCGTTAAGAGCTTCCAGATAAACCGTTCGGTTTGTGAAGCTGAGCTGGTAAGTCTTTCTTTTCACCAATCGTTCGTTTCCTTCCTAAACATGAAACCCAGTTTTGGTTCCTGTGTTTATCACCATTCTCAAATGAGTGTTTCTGATAGTGTTTGGGTGTCGCTTTGTGTAGTTTTGGAATTGTCCGAGCGTTGACGGTACGGAAACCGGTATTGGTGAATTGTATTCTGCCTCTGGAAACGTTTGTTCACGCTCAAGGTAAGGGAAACTTATTTAATTTAATTTGTATGTTTACGGTGTTGCATGACGTTTCGTTCGAGTTTGCTAAATTAAAGTGAAGTAATGATTATTGTGATATTTGACTATATGATATATGCTGGTTGTTATGTTCTGATGTATGAATTTATGAAAGTATATGATATGGATCTTATGAAGTATGAAAGTTGATTATGATATGGAATGTATAAGGTTATGAACTATATGTTAAGAAATTAGTTTGAAAACAAATGATTTTGGTATGAACTTTCCTCATATGAGAGTGTACGTTCGTTACTATCTGAACGTCATTGCCCGTTCGGTTTTTCTGGTAACAATAGTTGATAATGGGATTCTTTCATTTGGGAAGAATCCTAGTTGAGGACGTGCGTCCTCGTGATGGTAATCTATGCTTGAGCGTTCGGCCAGCACGTTTTTTCTGGGTATCCTGTGCTAACTTAAATTTTTATATCTATGTAATTGTATATTTTCGTTGTTCGTAAACACTACTCATAATACTTATTATATTTATCAAGCCTTTTATTATAAAGTTTATAGTGCTCGTCTTACACCAAGCACTTTGTACTGAGTAGTGCTCGGTCTTACCACAACCAAGCGCTCGTAACTCGTTTCTTTTCTTGTATATCTATCTTGAATGAAAAAATAGTGGTTCGTCTAACTTCAATAGAATTTTCTTCTCTACCTGCTCGGTCATGACTGACATGCGGATTTCTTGACGTAAATTCAAATAACTAAAATATTCATAAACGTTCGGTTTTCTTCCCCATGTGAATTCTTCTAAGTATTATTCTTGGATGTCTTGAAGTGTTCCGGTATCGCTTTGGTTCTTCTGGGCCTAGAGTCCGTAGCACTTGGTGAGGTCTTTTCAGCGTTCAATTAGAGCTATCACACGGGTCCGTTCATATAATTGATTCACTTTGTAATGAACGTCGATTCATTTCGTTTCCTTGCTATATCTATTAACACTCGGTTTTTTCTCTCTCAAAGCGACAGTAATCCTTCTTAGGTCTCGTCCCAAGTGTCGTCCCTCGTTCTGATTAGGAGTGAACGTTCGGTATCTGGGGTCTTTATAAATCGTTGATCAAATAGGAAAGTTAAATGAATTTATAATGAAAGATGAAATTGAGATGATGAATAATGAAGATAAAACTAAGATGAATTGATATGGAAGAGAAAAAGAATATGATATTGAATGAATGTGTTGGGAAATATGAACGCGCGTTCTAGGGCCGAACGACGTCATGGATGATTATTAAATTGGTAAAGTATGACTGTGGGCATGCTAAGCTGGGTGTTCATCCTGATGTTCCGTGGGTACTTGTCTTCACGTAGAAGAGGGTAGGTCATGTGTGGGAATGACAGGAGGTCTTAGTCCTTAGGGGTACTTTTGGACAGATAGGGCTAACCTCGGGTGGTATCTGTTGAGGGCATCCCAATGACTACATCCCCCCCACCCTGGTGCACGAACGCCTGTAGCTATACATATTTCATACAGTCCGGACAGTCAGTCTAGTAATAGGCTTTGTATGATATGTATGTTGAATTTACCTTGTGTATTTGATTATTTGAAGTGTATGATTATGCATGAATTAAATTATATAAGCTTACCCTGTGTTTCCGATATCGTCTTGTTTTGTACGTCCGTCTTGTCGTTGCAATGATCATCCGTTGTCGATGTGAGCAGAAGGGGTCGAGCTGTTGGAAGATGCGGTGGAAGAAGAAAATTTGGTTGAAGTTGAAGTTAAGGCCGAACGGTAGGACGTTCGGTCAGTAGTCTAGTTTTGTAGTGAGGAGGTCGTTCGATCACCTTCTCTTTTGATTTCATTTGATCGTTCGGTATAAACTTTTGTAAACCGTTCGGTCAGTTTTGCTTATCCTGTGCAGTTTTAGTTGTAATCTTTTTGTAAGGCCGTTCGGCCAGAACCGTACGTTTTTCTAGTGTAAGACTGAACTGAAATATTATTAAATGTAATTATTTTATTATATAGTTTATTGCTGTATTTTTGGGATGTTACACTTTTTCTATGACAAATTTCTTAGATGTGTTTAAATAAATAAATAAGAGGACTAATTTTGGCTGAGAACGGAGACAGTAACCATTATAAAATTGAGGGTCATGATACAATATATGAACTTTCTGTTTCTCAAGGAGTTGTCCAACAAATTCAGAACTTGATATCAAATTCGATTCAGTAAACCAGATCAAATTTGCAACTAAATTCTTTTATTGCACATATAACTCAAATTTGAGATAATTAAATAAGTAGAAGAGCTTATAAACTTATAATCTTAAACTTTTGAATTGAAGTACTCTTATATAACCAAATACAAACAATTTTAGAAATTTATGGTAAGTTTCTACATTGGATAATAATATGTTATACAAGAATTATAAGGTTGAAAGTGATGTCTTAATATTAAGTAGATTGTTCATGATTAATATCAAATTTTCCTGTTATCTTTAGGCAAAAAACCTAACAAAAAAAAGAAGTGTTTTTTAGTAAGTCACTTTAAAATGACTTTAGTTTTTGAGTTCATTCACCGGTTGACCTAACCTAGTTAAATGTTGACAGTGATCTTAAAGGATGAAACATTGATTTTCGAGTGTTTGGATGCCATGCTTAATAATATAGATTAAAATGGCCATTTTCCTTTTTCATGTAAATCACCGAAATACTCTCCACTAAAAAAAGTAGCATATACATTTAAATTTGATGACCCAAATGAAATAGCATAAAAGCTGTTCGTTATAATAATTTAATGGGTCAAGCCTCTGTTTGTTTTGGGTCGTATATTATTTACGAGGAAGAGGAGACAAGAAGTATTGTTGTTTGTATGAGTTATGTATGAAAAAAAGAGTGAAGAGATAAATGGGGGATTAGGAGATCACCAAATTTGATCCACTCAAATGTGCTGAGAAAAACTAAGAAACACACGTGGCGTTACACGAATGATCACTTTGCCTTTCATTGAGACACATTGCCATTGCGAATGGGTTCATCTTG